GTTGATCTTTGTACTAAAAACATTTTTTTACTATTGTATGCATGGATATGTGATAATCTGGACATGTAAAACTAGGATATAGTGTTTGAATTAGTATTTTAGGACAAGATATTTAATTATGAAATTATATTAAGTTTTACATTTATATATATGTTTCTAGGTAAATTTTTTAATTAGATGTTTAATTAATACATACTTGGAAATATTTTGATTAGTAAAAAGTGAAAAATGGGAAACATTAATAGCAAGAAATACAGAAAGTGAAAAATAGGAAACATCTTTGCGAAGCTATGATGTCCCTGCTACCATATTTCGGTCAATCTTAGTGACCGAAATATTAAAGTTGGAATTCGGTCATAATATTTGACCGAAATAAACATAAATTCGGTCAAATATTATGACTGAAAAATGGTCTCATTCCACCAACCAATGCCACTCCACCACTCCGTCAAAAAACTGGCTTTGGGGGGAAATTTTTTTTTTTCCTTATATAAATTCGATCAAATTACTTGACCGAACTACAGTCATCATTATTTCGGTCATTACGGTCATTAGTAATGACCGAAATAAGACATTTGGCCAAAAGCCCTGCACTTGACCATTCCCTCAAAAAATTGGGGAAATTTTTGAATTTTTCACTAAATATAATTCGGACATAATTTTTTACTGAACTTCATCCACACTATTTTTAGCCCTCGCCCTACGATTTGAATATTTTCGATGAAAATGTTTGAAATTTTCGCTTTTATATTTCGGTCAATTTTACTTTCGAAATACATCTATGCCTATATATACACCACCTCATTTTCTTCTTATCACTCCTCCTGCTTCTCTTTAATTTCTTCCTTCTCTAGCTCTCTGCCTTTATATACGATTTCTTTCTCTTTGTTTCTCCTATATTACCTTTTTATGTCTTCATTTTTTTATCTCTTTTTCTTCTTCATCTCTACTCTTATTTCTTCATTTTAGTATTTTATTTCCAACATCTCATATTCTTAACTACATTTTTTTTCCAAAACTAATTAATATAACTATATAATTCCTTTCTTTATCATCTCCTTTATACTTTAAGTTTCTTTTAGTATTTGATTATGTAAATTTCTCTGTATTTGTTTTTGGTGCTTCTACTAATGGTTTAATTTTTCATTTTCAAGGTTGCTTATAGGGTAGCATTTTGAAGTAATTTCATACTTATATGTTTAATTTTTCATTTTCCATATATTATATTGATTTCTTTTCATGGTTTAATTTATTAGATTAAATATATGTGAATTTGGTTTATTTTTGTATTAATGTTGGCTCTCTTTTGCAAATATCATGTAATTTTTCAGTATATATATAAATTTGATTTATTTTGATGTCCTTGCATATATGAAAATTTAATCATAATTAATAACAAATAAATATAATAATAATTAAAAACTATAGAAGATAAAAAAAAGGAATTTTATACAATTGATGGTATTAAAATTGAATTCTTTTAATATTAAATCATGTTATAATATTTATTATTTTGATTAAAATTCATTCAATAATTTTATTTTATTATTATTTTTTTTTTTGCAATCTGCATGGTTAGTCATACTGACCGAATTAAACATGCTAATTTTATTTTTTTGAAATGTGCATCTTAATTTGGTCAAATATACTGACCGAATTAAGTTCAATAATTTCATTTTTTCTAGTAAAATAAACATACTTAATTCAGTCAATCATATTGACCGAATTAGACATGCTAATTTATTTCATTTTTTCAAAATGTTCATAATTAATTCGGTTAATCATTTTGACCGAATTAAGTTGAATGAGCTTATTTGTAAATTTATTTCGGTCATTAATTGTGACCGAATAAAATCTAGCAAATTGAGGGTAATCTATATGTTTTTGGTCAGATATTTTAACCGAAATACATTGGTTAAAATACCAAAAATATCCCTTCCAATAATTTGGTCATGTAATTTCACCGAAATACGGTCCCGATGACCTGTTTTGACTTAGTATTTCGATTAGTGTTATTGATCAAAATATATGAGTAAAATAATATTTATTTTTTTGGTCAATTGATTTGTCCAAATATAAGAGTTGTTTAATGATTTATTCAACCATTATTTTGGTCAAAAATACCAACCGAGTTAGATTTTATTTAGGTCAAAACTAAATTTTCTTCGAAATACTGTTTCATAGAGTGGATATTCAATCCAACAATTTGGTCATTGGGTTTGACCAAAGTGCTTATGTTTCGGTGAAAATATGGACTTTTTCGATCATGTTGCTTGATTGAAGTACTCCCTTTTTCTACTAGTGATCTACTACCTATTATTTAATTTTTGCTATCTATTATATGTTAATTACTAGATTTCAACTGCTATACCAAATATGCCTAAATCAAAAGAGAATCCTTACAAATTTAACCAAAAAAAATAAAAAAAGATAAAGAATCCTCACATTTTTTATGAGATTAATTCCTCCATTAGTTTTAAGAACAATAATTGGTTTGCAATCCAGTGTACTGCATTGCACAATACACTTGTTAAACACATTGTTTTTTTTTTTTATTTTTATTTTTATCTAAAATTAAAGTTAACCAAGTTTAAAGATATAACAATGCACATAGGATATAAGAACTAATTGAATTGATGGTATTTATATTATATTTTTAATGATTGAATTGTAATGTGTCGTAAAATTGTATTGAACTAAGTTTGTATAAATCATTTTCCTAGTTTTAATTATTATATCATCTACTGAAGTTGAGAATAATTATTTTTTCTAATATAAATTTATAGAATTTGTATAGGATATGGTGAATTTTGATTACGTTTATATTATCAAATCAACTATTAAAATATTAAAATAATAAAATAATAAAGCTGATTGGGCAATAATATTTTTAATCTCTTTAGTTTTTTTCTTGTACTTAGGTTTAAAGTTATTTTAGCCTTAATTGCAACAATAGTAAATAAATTAAACAAGTAAAAAATGTTTTATTTTATAATTAAATTGCACTGAGTTGTAAAACAAAGGTTATTGGATGGTGTAGAGCTATCAATAGCAAGGGATCATCCTTATTTAATGGTTATAATTATACAATTTGATACAATTTAAATTATACAATACCTTTTTTATAAATAAATTATTTATAATACTAAGTGTAAAGTATGAATAAGCGTTGGGAACTTTTATTTATCTTTGCTACGGAGATAATGAAAGGAGTGTTTGAGCTTATTTCAAAGTTCAAAGTCAAGTGTGCATTGGATTTTCTTGTTATGCAACCTAAAAAAAAAAAAAGTTCAATTTGTTCATGCAAATTAAGATGTCCATATACAATGCTTCTAAATCTGTCATCCAATGGGCATTCAGCTACAATACTTTATGGAGGAGAATATTGTCCCATGCTTTGTCTTAGATGCAGTCAATCACAAGGGTGATCCCGTTGATAGAAGTACAACCTAGGGTTGGGTGTCTGCATCTCTTATTGTGGGTAAGGTTTTCATTTTCTTTGAATCAAAATCTTCAACATTTCTTTCAGTACTCAGGAATTCTTATTGCCCTTTTTATAAGATCAGGAATTCTCTTATGATAGTTATCTTATTGACCCCACTACCATACCAAACCCTCCAACTTGCCCGCTCGTCAACAGTTAATTACACAATGTGTCCCAATTACAATCGAGCTATAATTTTGGATGGTTGCTGATGTTTTCAGTACTATTGCATTTTATTTCCAAGAATTTTGGAAACAATGACCATCTTAACCAACATGGTGATTTATCTAGTTAGAACAATGCATCTTCCAAGTGCCACTGATTCAAATGCTAATACCAATTTTGGAGGAACATCCTACCTTCTCTAATTGCTTAGAGATGTGATAGTTCATAGTTGATTCCTTTTAGGCTGATATTGGACTATTGTCATTTCTGCTATTATTGCTGCATTAGTAGCTCTGTTCGAGATTGCTTGGAGGCACATCACTTACTTTCTCCCAAATTGTGGTGTTAAATTGTTTCTTCATCTAGTGATGGATTAGGGCACTTGTTTGCTGGCAATTGCTATAACACTCCCACAGCTCCCGCCACTAGCCTGCAACCTTACACTGCCTAACACATTCCAAGAGGCTAGCAAGTTGCAGATGGGTGTGTACTACTTATTTATGTACTTGTACGCAATAGGATCTGGTGGAATTAAATCCAACGTTTTAGCATTTGGGGTGGACCAATCTGATCACAAAGACAACAAAGAGAAAAGGAAAATTAAGGATTTCTTCAATAGGTTTTTTGTGATTATCAACACAGGAAGCCTGCTAACTGTTACAATTCTTGTTTATGTTGAGGATCATGTTGGTGGAAAGTGGGCCTTTTGCAGTTGCTCTGTTGCAATGATGGTTGCCTTGGTGGTGTTTCTTTTAGGGACTAAGAGATACAGGCACAAGAAAAGTGAAGGCAGTGCTGTAGTTTAGATTCTTCAAGTTCTAGTGTCTACAATACGGAAGAGAAATGTCCCACTTCTAGCTTCTCATAGCTACTTATACGAAAACAACTCTTGACTTGCCCACACAAACAAGTTTTAGTATGACCTTCAAAATTTTTGGTTTTATTTCATGCTTCATATTTGATCCAAGAATTCTTACATAATATAAATTGTTTATTTTGCTTAACTGAAATTGACAGGTTCTTGGATAAGGCAGCAATTATCACCAAAAAGAAGAGTGTAATGGATGTGCAACTGTTTTGTAGAAATCCCTAGAGAATCTCTATAGTGACAAGGATTGAGGAAGTTAAGATGTTGGGTAGATTGATGCCAATTTGGGCGACAATTGGGCAACAACAATTATATGTTGGACAGTGTATGCGCAGATGACTAGCTTCCCAGTGCAACAAGCTTCATCTCTGGATGAAAAAATTGGGAAGAGATTTCCAAATCCCACCTGGCTCTTACAACGTTTTTGTGATTGGCTCCATAATGGTAGCCCTTGCTATATATGACAAGCTCATCATGCTAGTTTCTAGGAGATTGGGAAAAGCTCAAGGTCATATTTCATCTTAGCTTTTCCAGTCATATATTTTTCATTAACGAAACAGTTTGACAATTTGGCAAAATGTCCATTGCAGGTATGACAAATTTGCAGAAGATAAGTGTAGGCCTCTTCTTCACGGTTGTGGGAATGGTGGCTGCAGTGCTGATAGAGGTGAAAAGATGCAAAAGGAGGCACTACAGGGGTTGTTCCAATGAGTGCTCTGGTTACTTCCACAATTCATCATTGTTGGCATTGGAAATGCCTTGATATCCTCTAGCCAACTCAATCTCTTCATAACTGAGTCACCTAAAGGGATGAAAGTAATAGAAAACAGACTGTTTCTCACAACTACCTCATTGGGAATGTTTGCTAGCACTATTTTGGTGGAAATTGTGAAGAGGGTTATTAAAGAAGAAGACAGTAGAAATTGGTTGGCTTATAGGATTAATGGTGGCAGATTGGATTATTTTTATAGCCTTTTGGGTGTATCGTGCTTTGTCAACATGGGTTTGCTTATTGTTTGTGCTAGAAAATACAAGGGAAGTGTTGAAGTAGTATGTTCTCTTGTGAGTGTGAAGAGTTAAGATCCCACATTGAAGAAATATAGA